AATTCCAACTAAACTACAGAACAACCATAATTCAGAATCACTTGAAATCTAAGTGGTTCTGAACAGAATTCCTATAACTAAAGATATAAAGAAGAAGCCATATCTAGACTGACAGGAGGGGCAGAGATGTGGAAGGGGCAGGCCCTACACCCACATACGGTGGTTAAAAACTGGAGGAATTCCTCTGCTGTGGAGGTCTTCTCTGAGGAACAAGGGGTCCCAGCCTCACACCAGGCTCCCCACTCCATGTTTCCAGTGCTGGAAAGAAAAGTCCCTGTAACTTCTGGCTGTAAAAACCAGTGGTGATTGTGGCTGAGTGAGATGGAGGGCTCCTAGAATCCCAGACATCCATTTTAAAGATCCCACATGCCAATTTACTCAGATTCCCTCCTCGTGAGCTCCTGTATTGGGGCAGCAGCTCAAAAAGCCCCAGGGACATATGGGCAGAAACCGAATTGTCTGGCTTTAGGACAAGTGCTGAAGAGACAGCTCTCTGTAAGACAAAAGTGTTGGCAGAGGACATTATTCCTTTGCTGAGCCCTGTCCCCAGAGACAATAAGCAGGTGTCATATAGGAGTCTCCATCAACCTAGCTAATACTGTTTGCTCTCCCCTGATGAATCCCTGAGACCCTACCCTATCCAAAGTGTGGGCCTATCCAAGCCATTTCCAGTGACTTTTCCATACAAATGGCCTCTCTTGGTTAATGCTTGGGACTTTCCTAAAATCACTCAAACAAGCAGCATCTGGCCTCTGTGTATCCTGTACCTGTTGCTAAGTGGATTCAAGCCTGGCACTAGTGGCAGCCAGCCCTGGTTTGCAGCTTGGCCTCTGTAAGGAAACATTAAGCCCAGAACAAGTAGCAACCATTTGCATATTGCTCTGTAGCTCATGTTGGGGTGACTCTGGGCAGGAAACAGGCAGTGGCTGACCCTGGTCAGTGCACCCAGTGGGCAGCTTCAGACTATGCCGATTACAACCCAATTACCTCCATGAGCAGCATACTAAAGGGCCGAACTTGGCAGGTACCAAAGCCCCACTGAAGCAGGTCCTGCTTTATGGGGTTGGCCCCCGCACAGTACCAGGTCCACTGTACTTGCAGCTGGACCTTGTAGCCCACTGGCCTGGCAGTCAATCCCTCCCAGTGATGTGTCAATAGCAATAACCTTATTGGTTCAACTGCAACAGGAGGGTATGCAGAGCCCACAAGACAGGGCACTTGATGAATGCACAGCTCAGATTATTGCGAAGGGCTATGCCACTGAGTCCTGTAGACATCTATTAAAAGCCTCTTGAGCAAAATTGAGATATAGCAGCTCTGCCTAACATACATAGAAACAAACACAGGGAGGTGGCTAAAATGAGGAGACAAAGAAATAGGTTCCAAATGAAAGAACAGAAGAAAACTCCAGAACAACAAAATTAAATGGAAGTGAGCAAACTACCAGTTACAGATTTCTAAATAATGGTTAGAAAGATGCTCAAGGAGCTTAGTGAGGACTTCAACAACATAAAAAAAAGGACATGAAAACCAGACATAAAAAACCAGTCAGAAATGTAGAATATACTAATTGAAACGAAGAATACATTAGAAGGAATCAACAATACAGTAGATGAAGCAGAGAATGAAATCAGTGATTTGGAAGATAAGGAAGCAGAAAACACCCACGCAGAACAGAAAAAAAAAATTAAAAATGAGGATAGTGTAAGGAGCCTCTGGGACAACTTCAAGGGTACCAACATTTACATCATGGGGGTACTAGAAGAAGAAAAGAGAAAGAAATTAAAAACCGTTTCAAGAAACAATGATGAAAAACTTCCCAAGCCTGGCAAAGGAAATAGACATGCAGTTCCCAAAACTGCAGAGACCCAAACAAGATGAATCCAAAAAGGCCCACACCAAGATACATCATAATTAAAATGGAAAAGGTTAAAGATAAAGAGAGAATCTTGAAAGAAGAAAAAAGCAGTTAGTTACCAACAAAGGAGTTCATATAAGACTGTCTGCTACTTCTCAACAGAAACTGCAAGACAGAAGGGACTGGCAAGAAATATCCAAAGTGATGAAAAACAAGGACCTACAAGCAAGATTACTCTACCTTGCAAAGTTATCATTTAGAATCAAAGGACAGATACAGCTTCTCAGACAAGAAAAAGCTGAAGGAGTTCATCACCATCAAACCAGCATTGCAAGAAATGTTAGTGTCTCTTTAAGAAGAAAAAAAAGATCAAAATTATAATAAAATGGTAATAAATACATATTTATCAACAATTACTTTAAATGCAAATGTATTAAATGTTTCAATCAAAAGACACATGGTGTTAGAAAAAGACAAATACCATATGACTTCACTCATATGTGGGAAGTAATGAACAAACTGAACTAACAAGCAAAACAGAGGCAGATTCATAGATGGAGAAAAGATGACAGCTAGTAGGGGGAGGGGAGGTTATGGGGTGGAGGGTTGAATAAAAAGGAAAAAAGACTCATGGACATGGACAACAGTGTGGTGACTGCTGATGGGAGAGGGGTCTAAGCAGACTAAATGGTAATGGAAAAAATATAATAAAGATTAGATATTTAAAAAAAGACGTATGGTGATAGAATGGATAATATAACAAGACCCTTAAATATGCTATTCACTTCAGATCAAAAGACACACAGACTGAAAATAAAGGGATAGAAAAAGATATTTCATGAAAAGAGAAACAAGCAAACAAAAAAGCTGGGGTAACAATACTCATACCAGACAAAACAGACTTTAAACCAAAGTTTATAACAGGAGATCTAGACCCAGTACTCCACCTCTGGGTATTTATCTGAAGAAACCCAAAACACTAAACTGAAAGGACATATACATCCATATCTTCACTGCAGCACTATTTACAATGGGCAAGATATGGTAGTAGTCAGTGAGTTCATCAATAGATGAACAGATAAAAAAGAAGTGGTACATATATACAATAGACTATGATTCAGCTGTAAAAAAAAGAATGAAACCTTGCCATCTGCAACAACATGTATGCACCTAGAGGGTATTATGCTGAGTGAAGTAAGTTAGAAAAAGACAAATGCCAGATGATTTTGCTTACATGTGGAATATAAAAAACAAAATAAAGAAGTAGAACAGAAATAGACTCATAGATACAGGGGACATTTTGACGGTTGCCAGATGGAAAAATATATTGGCAAAGGAAATATAGTCAATAGTATTGTTAACTATAGATAGTGTCAGATGAGTATTATTGGGAAAATCACTTTATAAGTTATGTGAATGTGTAATCATGGGGTTATACACCTGAAACTAATATATGTTAATTATAATTTAAAAATTAAAAAAGAGCATACATACAGTTTCTCAAGCAAAAAATTCATAATATTTCAGTCTAGTCAGAACACAGAGATGTCATATATAACTATGTTTACATTGGGTTTATATGAAGACCAAAATGCTAATCTTTACTATGCTTCTCAGTTTAAAATTCATGATAAAGTTTACTTATAAGAAATCTATTTAAGTTGTGAATCTAAATGTTTTCTCAGTGTTCTGAAGGTGGTCACCAATACCAAATTAGGTGTGAAAACTATAGCCCCCAGAAATGATTTTTTGATTTATTAAAAAGTCAAATATATGTAAAAGAATACATCAGAAAATTATTTTTGTCTAAATTTCCACTGTTATTTCAACAAGTGAGTTTTGTTTAAAAATAAGTAAGTACTTATAGAAGGCCTCCTCCATGCAAGAGCATCATGCTAGGTGATAGGGGTTGGGTCCAAGATGGAAACTAGACTATGCTTGCCTTCAAAGAGGTTACAATCCAAGAATCTGAGTAATAGAAGCACTTAAATAACTTCAACACCAGGTCAGTTCAGCTACATGCATAAAAGAAATACAGAGAGCTGTGAGGATTAAAGGAAACTGGAGGAAACAGGACAAGCTTGACAGAGGAAGTGAAACTTGATTAACTACAATTTTGAGAGGCAGAATGAGATAATGAGGGGGTGGACATAGAAAAAATGATTAAGGCAAAGAAAGTATTTCCAAGAAAAAAGTAATACAAACATAGGTATGACACAGAGAAGGATTGGGGCACCTGGATTGAATGTGATTTGGTAAGCAATGAGGAGTTACTGAGCATTTTAAGAGATGGAATTACAAATTTTATTTTCTTACAACATACAGTCACATGCCATATAACACTGTTTCAGTGAATGATGGACTGCATATACAATGGTGGTATACATACAGCCTAGGTGATATACATACAACAGTAGGCTGTACCCTCCAGGTTTGTGTAGTGCACTCTATAATGTTCACACAATGACAAAATCACATAATGACATCGGCCTATGAATGTATCCCCGTTAAGTGGTGCATGACTATATTAACCATAGCCTACAAATATATTTCAAGCTCTCTGTGCAGGAGAGCCAACACACACACAGGCCTGTATCATATAATGCACACACAGGAACATAGGGATAATTCCTATTGATGAGGTTGAACCAAAAGGAGGGGAAAAGGCCGAGTAAACAAATAGTTGCCAGTGAGAAAAGGAGGCACAGGAACCAACCTATCATCACTTGTGCTTTGTTGACACTGCAGCTGAATAGTTCACTTTAATCAACTGCTAAATTCCCTACACAACAACCTGTTTTTGAGAGTCAGAGTAAGGTATTTGGTGATGATAAATATGGTCCACTTTTAGCTTTCAGCTGCTCCTTATTTCTATATCTCACTCAAGTCCCAGCCAACTTCAGCATTTAAAGCCAATAAAATTCTTGGAGCACAAAAAAAGACCGGAGTTAGGGGCAGGAGTTCAAGGGCACACTCATGACCTAAGTATCTGTCATATGCTATGAATCCTTGAGCTAAAGCAACTCACCCAATCTGAATTATGAGATAGGAAATACTCTGCCATTCATTAAAAAATGTACAAAAGCATTTCAAATAACATTTTATGAATATATGTATGATACGTAGAAAGAAAACTAATTACCTCATGATCATGAGTGGCCTGTCTGGCTGCATCTAAAAATATGGAAGAATAAGAGAACATTAAGGTGAAAAATAAAACAGAATGATAACTAAACCCAAGCTAACAATTGTGCCAAACTACAAAAACTGCTGGTATATATGTAGGCTATCACAACATATGTTATTTTCTCTTATGGCTTTATTAATCAGTTAGTCAACAAAACTTAAAGGGAACCCTGTATTTACAGGTTACATTTAGACACAAGAAAAAGAGCAGATTACTATTGAGGAGAAAACAGTGAGAAGGTGAACATGAAACATATGCCAAAGGCTGTTTGCACAATATTATAGGTTAGCAAGTAAGAGGCTCACATGTGAGGAGACGGCAGTAATGAAGGAAAGACAGACTACTTGTGGGTAAGGTGTCTTTGTAGTGCTCCCTGAAGAAGGAGAACTTAAAGCAATTCTTGTAAGGGTGGAAGGAACAATTTTAATGACTAATGAAAGATCCATGAAGACTAGGATTTTGCCTGTTTTGTTCAATATTGCTTTCTTAAAGGCTAGGTGAGAGCCTGATATGTAATAGGAGGTTCTCAATACCTATTTTTTGAAAGCATGCATTCATGAATGTACGAATGAAAAGGATGGTTATTTGAGGCTGGGAGATGGCACATGAAGAGATTAGAGGCATTAAAGCAAGGCAGTTATGTAGTTTAGTAAAGACTTGTTTAGAGGCAGAGAAATGCCTACACTGGAAATCAGAAAAAAGCACAGTCACCTAAAAGGGGTCTTTGGAGGAGAAGCCAAATTGTTGATACTGGATATGGAAACCAACTGGAATTTATAAATGAGAGCAATATGATTTTAATAAAATTCCAAGATGATGCTTATAAATGAACATAGTATAACAGAGAAATGACAGGAACGTATCTTTTATATTTATCACTCTAATAGTAGGTTTTGTGACACTCATCACATACAACAAACTACAAATACATTTGGTTCTGGTTCTGATACCTTGTCTTTGAGATTTGCCTTTCTGACGGTCTTGGGTTTTCCTATTGAAGACCTTGTAGGCCTCAGTCTTCTGATACTGCTCCAGTTCCTTCATGTAACGCTCCTTATCTCTGTCTGCTTCATCAAGGTAGCGCTAGAAAAGAAACGTGGAGTAATTTTCAAGGAACAGATTTCATTTAGGTAAAATATCAATGAGCTATTTAAAGGCCACAAAGGACAACTGGAACATGGAAAGAAAAGTATATGGGGAATAGATCTCATAAAAAATTCACAAGAAGATAATTATAGTTATTTCTCTAACCCTATATACAAAACTCCATATGGCTACTAGAGTCCTCAAGAACACCATACAGACACATTTAGTCTTCCCAGGAGAGAAGATGATACACTATTTTTTTTCTCTAATTCCTAACCCATTCTGAGGGAATGATCTCACACATTAGTTGGCCTTTTAAGAAGTCAGAAGACAGAAAGAACATTAAAAACAGTGACCTCCAAAAAGAAAAAAAAAAAGAAAAAAGAAAAAAAAGAATGACTTCATCCTATGGACCTAAAATGAATTTAATATAAGAGCTTGCATCTATATACTTTGTGCCACTCATTATTTAAACCAAGTTCATTGATCTAACAGCATAATTTTGCTTAATGCCTTGTTCTTTTCATTCATCAATTAGGTTTAAGAAATAAAATATAAAAATACTGCTTCTAAATGAACATAAAATAGAGTCAGGAAGTATGTTAAAAACCCTGTCCCACACAAGAGCCAAATGCAAGGGACACCCAACTGGCCAAATCTGGGACAATTTAAGTACAAATACTTAAATACAGTAATAAATTATTAACCACTGGGGAAAAATTAAAATGTCTACACCAACAATAAATAACAATCAAATAAATATATAAATTGGGACAGGAGGAGGGATCTTGCTTAGATTAGAATGGTGAGGGCCAACTGGTAGGTTTGGAGGAAATACTAGGATTGAGAAGTCATCATTTTTGCAACCATCATGATAAAGATTAGATTAGGCAAAATTTATCAATAAATGCTAAATGTGGGGGGGATTTTGATTCCGCGATTTGCATGTTTTCTTCACAGGCTACTTAATAATTATAAGGGAGAAAACCTTTATTGAGTGAGCAAAATTAATTACCCAGGAGGACACTATGGTCCCCTACAAAGGACACACCACCTATGCAGTATTCTCACCAAGAATGCATAACTTTAATCTTATCATGAGGAAACATCTGACAGAAAAATGACAAATGTTCTGCTGAAAGTAAATAAGAAGAGGGAAGAGAAACAGGGAGTGATTGTAGTTTTAAATAACATTAATGTCATAAAAGACAAAGTCTGTGAAAATATTCTAGATTAAAGGAATCTAGAGATTTGACTACTAAATACAAAACATGACCTTAGACTGGAATCTGAACTGGAGGGGAATTTTTTTATAGGGGAATGATGTTATATCAATTAATAAAACTGGAATATAGATGGTAGGTTAGGCAAAACTATTATGTTAATATAAAATTACAAAGTTGATAATTATACTATGGCTGTGTAAGAGAGTATGTCCATTTTTAGGAAATACACCCTGAAATATTGAGGGATATACTTAACTTCCCCTCAGATGATTCTGGAAAATATAATGTGTGTGTGTGTGTGTGTGTGTGTGTGTGTGTGTGTGTGTGAGAGAGAGAGAGAGAGAGAGAGAGAGCGCGAAACAGAGAAAGAGTGAGTGCGTTTGTGCTGGAGAATATGAGCACATATGTGAACACAGAAATAGGATAAAATGTGTTAACAATAGGTGAATACAGATAAAGGGTATTTGGATGTTCTTTGTACTATTCTATGTTTGTAACTTTCTGCACACTTGAAATTATTGTCAAATAGAGTGTTAAAAAAATAAAAACAAGCACACACACCCTTGTCCTACCTATGTAAAAAAGCGAAGGTAGGTTTTTTCTTTATACATAAAAAAGCGAAGGTTTTGCTTTTTTCTTTATACATTCTGTACTGTCTGAAAACATTTTAAACAATGACCATGCATTAATTTTGAAATAATAATCGAAAGAGTAACCCGATATGTACAACTCATAATCCCATTATACTTTATACATTAGACCCAAAACAACGGGTGATATGCACTGCTTTCTATTTGCTTCACTTCTATTTACACAGAGCTTCAAATTGCAATTTAATCTGATCTCTTTGAAATGTTTTGGACTTCTGGCCAAGATGGAGGCATAGGTGGATGCACCGTGCCTCCATGCACAACCAAGGTTGGAACAACAACAATTTAGAGGCAGAATAACACCCAGAACTGATAGAGAATTTATCTGAATGGAAGTCGGACAGCCAAGAAGTTGAAGTAGACCCGTTCATCCAGACCGGTAGGAGGGGCGGAGAGGAGGAGTGGGCGTGGGTCACAGCGTGTGGAGATTGGGGAGAACTGGGTGCATAAGGCAACCGAGCGTGTAAGCCTTCCAGGACATGCGAGATTGCAGCGCAGCAGTGGTCCCCGAGTATGCAAGCAGCGGCTGGTGGACCCAGTGAGGCGGCATTGTGGACCAGGGCAGAGCGCGCAACCCAAGATCCCAGGGGGGTTACTGAGGTCCCAGGAGAGCGGAGCTACCGCCATTGTTTCCTCCCACCCCCGCCCCCACGTACAACGTCACAATCTAGCAACTGGGGTGCTCAGCCCCGCTGAACACCTAAGGCTCCGCCCCTCACTGTAACAAAGAGTGACCTGACCAAAAAGGAGAGAGAGAGAGACATGTCTCCAACAGAAGAACAGCTCAATCCCCCAGGACTCATCCTTTTGAGCAACTAAGAGATAGCCAATCTATCAGATGCACAGTTCAGAACACTGGTGATCAGGAAGCTCATGGAATTGGTTGACTTTGGGAGCAAATTACATGAAAAAATGCAGGTTAACATAAAAGAGATGAAAGAAGATGCACGGAGAACCAATAGTGAATGGAAGGAAACTGGGACTCAAAATAATAGAGTGGACCAGAAGGAAGAAAAAAACAACCAAGCAGGAAAGAGTGAAGAAATAAGAATTCAAAAAAAACGAGGAGAAGCTTAGGAACCTCCAGGACATGTTTAAATGTTCCAACATCTGAATTATAGGAGTACCAGAAGGGGAAGAGGAAGAGCAACAGATTGAGCATGTATTTGAACAAATAATAAAGGAGAACTTCCCCATTCTGACAAAGGAAATAGACTTCCAGGAAATCCAGGAAGCTCAGAGAGCCCCAAAGAAGTTGGACCCAAGAAGAAACACACCAAGGCATATCATAATTACATTAGCCAAGGTAAAAATGAAGGAGAGAATCCTAGAAGCAGCAAGAGATAAGAGGACAGTAACCTACAAAGGAGTTCCCATCAGACTGTCAGCTGATTTTTCAAAAGGGACCTTGCAGGCAAGAAGGGGCTGGAAAGAAATATTCCAAGTCATGAAAGACAAGGACCTACATCCCAGATTGCTCTATCCAGCAAAGCTCTCATTTAGAATGGAAGGGCAGATAAAGTGTTTTTCAGATAAGGTCAAGTTAAAGGAGTTCATCATCACCAAGCCCTTATTTTATGAAATGTTAAAGGTACTTATCTAAGAAAAGATTAAAAAAGACATATATAGTAAAAGGACAGCAAACTCACAATTATTAACAACCACACCTAAAGCAAAACCAAAAGAAACTAAGCAAACAACTAGAACAGGAACAGAGCCACAGAAATGGAGATCGCAACAGGGGAGTGGGAGGAGGAGAGAAGGGAAAAGGTACAGAAAATAAGTAGCATAGATTGTAGGTGGAAAATAGACAGGGGGAGGGTAAGAATAGTATGAGAAATGTAGAAGCTAAAGAACTTATAAGTATGATACATGGACATGAACTAAAGGGGGGGAAGTGGGTGGGAGAGGGTGTACAGGGTGGAGGGGAGTGAAGGGGGGAAATGGGACAACTGTAATAGCAAAATCAATAAAATCTATTAAAAAAAGAAATGTTTTGAATTCAGTTAATTCCCAACAGTATTTTTCAATTTGGTATAAAAGAGTATAAGACATAAAAGAAATAAAGGTATTTCTTAGATGTTGAGAATGCAGGTAATTTTTAACCCAAAGCTACTCTCACAACAATCATTCTGTTTTTGTGACATTTCAGTCAGAACATGGCTATTTTGTTCTTAATTGCTCTCAAATCTCCCTAACAAATGGATTTGTTTCAGTTTGATAACAGGCTTAGTTTCTGTTTTAGAAGAGAAAGAATTAAAGTATTCTTGCTTTATTTTCCCGAATAGGTTAAATATGTCAGAACTCCAAAAATTTTATTAAGGCAGTAATATCTTTTAAAGAAAAATCTTATGTGAATAGAATTTTATGAAATGATCTTTTCTCATTTAATTCATGACTTTTCATTGAACTTGGTGGAATAAATTATGTTGATAAACTTCCTAATATCGAATAACCACAAAAATCTTATAAATCAAATACCAGTGCAGCTGCTTTAGTTGAGAGCTCCACCTGCTCACATCCTAAAGCTAACCCTGAAAGAGAATGAATACCACTATGCTGGAGAAGAGAGCTATGAAGGACCCTGCTAAGCACATGACAAAACTGAAGAATCAACTGTTCATCCTCTTTGCTTTTCTGACAGAGATTATTTTTGAGATATAATGAAAACCAAGCTAAGGATCAGGAATAGAAAAAAAATTACCTGTTTTTCCTCAGGAGGCAGTTTACTCCATTCATTGCCTAACATCCTTGTAATTTCTGGAAATGGGACTTCTGGTCTCTTTGCTCGAAGCTGTTCTCGACGCTCATTCATGAACCGAACATATCCTGTAAGGGGGGATTTGGGTGCATTGCTGTCTCGAAGAGGTTTCTTCCTTTTTCTTCCTTTGGACCACCCTCCTCGTTTACTTCTTTGCTACAACACAAGACAAAATAAAAACTAAAACCAAATTACAATAACAAATAGAATGTCCCCAAATTACACAATAACACTAATAAATGCTAACAAACAAACAGGGTAAGAGTTGTATTTTCTTGCCATTAAGGCCCTGCGTATTCAAAGCTCTCCCTGTCATAGGTACAAATAACTGCAATGTAGTTTTCAAGAGGGGACTCCAGGTGGTGTACTTAGAGACCCTTTCATGTACCACACTACAAACTGTTGTACTAGGGCATATTCTAATGCTAATCCCAAGAGATAAGAATAAGGGGGGTCATGATCACTCAAGGTTGGCCTTCTTGTGCACTTAACAAGTCCTGACTCCCAACAGGGGAATATTCTAAATGAGAAATGCAGCATATACACAGTGCTGTGTCAGAAAAGCAGACACTGTCACAGTAGATCAGAACAAGATTTAACATGCACTGGGCAAACAAAGAGACAAGTTGTAGCACAGGGATTAAAAATTATTCATGAAGGGTGTTTCTGTTGATACCACTCAAAGACCAGTTTATTTCCCATAGTAGATAGCATGTACACTTTAAAATTAATACCTAAGTCTTAGAAAAATTTCTGTAAATATAATATATCCAAAGTGAAGTCTAGTTTTTTGGCTTGATGATTTGTTCCTTAAGATGTTTATTTTAAAAAGTCAGAGTCCTTTATATGTTATTAGTTAAAATCAAAAGATTAAATCACCTTGGCCATGGCCTGAATAGCTCAGTTGGTTAGAGCATAGACCTGATACATTCAAGGTTGAGGGTTCTGTCTCAGGTCAGGGCATACACAGGAATCAACCAATGGGGCCCTGGCTGGTGCGGCTCAGTGGATTGAGTGCCAGCCTGCAAACCAAAGGGTTGCTGGTTTGATTTCCAGTCAGGGCATGTGTCTGGGTTGCAGGCCAGGTCCCCAGTGGGGGAGCACGCAAGAAGCAACCACACATTGATGTTTCTCTCCCTCTCTCTCCCTTCCCCTCTAAAAATAAATAAATAAAAAATCTTAAAAAAAAGAAAAAGGATCAACCGATGTCACTGGCCAGTGTGGCTCAGTTGGCTGGAGCATCATCCCATAAAACCAAAGGGTAGTGAGTTCCATTTCCAGTCAAGAAGGGCAATGTCTGGGTTGAATGTTCAGTCCCTGGTTGGGGAACATAAGAAGCAACCGATCGATATTTCTCTCTCAATTCCATGTCCCCCCTTGCTTCCCTTCTCTCTACAATCAATTAAAAAAATATATATATATAAAGATTAAATCACCTCTAAAAAAGGTACAACAAAAGGACTGAGGTACCACTAATATTTTATTACAGGCCCCTTTCCTTGTCTTTTTTAATGAAATGCAAGGGACATCATGTATTTGTTTCATAATTTTATGTATACATATAACCTATCAGTTAGTATATTTTATGGATACAAGAATTCTTATTTCAGAGAAGAGAAAGATAAGCACCTGGCTGGCATAGCTCAGTGGATTGAGTGCGGGCTGCGAACCAAAGTGTTGCAGGTTCGATTCCCAGTCAGGGTACATGCCTGGCTTGCAGGTCATGACCCCCAGCAACCCCACATTGATGTTTCTCTCTCTCTCTCTTTCTCCCTCTCTTCCCTCTCTAAAAATAAATAAAAAATAAAATAAAATCTTAAAAAAAATTACAGCTTAAAAAAAAAAGATAAGCAAAATACGACAAAAACACCTAAATATTAAATACAGTACTATACTCTTCCAAGTACATAAAAAATGGTGCAATAACTCACCACCAGGCAAATGGTGCATTTGATGTCAGTTGTTTTTTTGTAAACCTTGTAACATTAAAGCTAATGTTTAAGATGTTTGAGAAGCTTTAAGCATTCATCATAACCTTTAAGAATGCCATCATAAAAAAATCAGCTCTTTTAAATAAGAAAGATAAAAATTAATGATAGTATTCTTCTATGGCTAAAAAGAGTACCTTAAAACAGAGACAATGTAATAAGTTATTTGTGAGTAACACTGGAAGTCCAATAAGGCCATAACTATGCAGGCCCATATGCAATTTCTATGTGAATTAAAGATACCCCCATGGAAGGTGGAATGATTGGTAAGTGGTGTGAATTCTTTGTGCACATACAACTACAAGCTGCAAGGCTTGGGGAGATGTGTGTGGTCTTGAACACAGGTGTGTGGACTTCTCATTAAATACTTATTTAATGAAATAACTCATTTGTTCATTCAACAAGCATTTGTTGAACATCTAATATGATGCAGGTAGAAATTTCTTAGGAGTAAAACGAGTCTACCTGTCTTCATGTCATTAAAACTATTAATATGATTCAATGTAAAACAAGAAATATTTAACATAAAACAGAAAATTTTGCAGAATGTAAAAAAGCCAGATGATGGACACCTGCTGCCTGCTTCTTTACAAGGTTCAGAGATAAGTAACAGAAGGAGTACTTCAGCTTACCTCATCTTCATGCCTCTGCTCATTGCCTTCTGCTGTGTTTGAAGGCTCATTCTGAAGCAACTGACCTTGGGAGAGAGCCTCCAAAAATTCTGGATTGTTGGTGGATGATGTGGCTCCACTACTATATGGAATCTCTGGGTGGGTTAGCCTGAAAAATAACAGGCAGAAGTGCAACAGTTCAGTATCAACAGCATCAAACTCTCATTTATCAAGGTTCAAGACAAATTTGCCTGCTAGCAAAAGCATAATAGGCCAGTTCTCGAATTAATTCCCCCACATCAATCTGTGTAAATGTAAACAGTATCTCCACAGCAGTTACAGAGCATTAAATAACGGTTTCAGTGTTTGATTGAATCATATCAGTTCCATGAAGACTACTAAAAACAGCTATAAATTTTTTCCCAAAATATTCTCTCTCCCCTCAGCATACAGACTTCACAATTTAGTTCTGATCATGCAACAAAGTCTGATTTTTATATACTACCTTTCATGTATCTCTAATGTAAAGGGAAAATACTATTAATGGAAAAAGAGAATAGGAATGGGAATTGTAGAAGCAGTTTTCCCCCAGTATAAGAAAGTTCTTGAAGAGTGTAAGAAATGTCTTATGGTACATTCCACAGACTATTCTTTCTAGGATTATGATGTTTATTGGCAACCAGGATTGTTTAAAAATGGTATTTTCAAGTTCAGTAAGTTCATGTATAAACGTTAATGAATTAGATATATTTCTTTTCTGTTGCCACCATTTGTTCTAGATGGTCAGCAAACCAGATCTCACAAGAAGATACACTATCACACATGGATAAAGAAATGAAAGAAAAGACAACACCATGTGGCATGAGTTTGAGGTTTTCTGGGGGAAGGAGTGAGAGAGGTGGAGGAAGATATATAAAAGTAACAGTTATTGTTCTGGAAGAATATGCATACTTTATAGGGTTATAGGTACATAATTAGTGAAACGTGGGTTTACAAAATGCGCTGTAAAGGCATGATAAGAGGCTATGACAAGTTTTATATGTGTGGAGAGGATGTTAATAGAGATTTTACAGAGGAGGTCTTGAAAGATGAATAGGCATTCATCAGGTAAATGATGTCATTACAAGCAGAAAGAACATGATGTAACAGAAGAAAGAGAACCTTATCAGGAAACTACTGCAACAGACTGAGAGACAAGGTCAGGCAGGATAGAGAATAGGGGATAGAAAGCTAAGAGATAGAACAGAGAGAACTTTAATGACAGAATATAGTGAAGGAAAAAGAAGAGCCAACTGTAATTCTGAGGTTTCCAGATTGTGTGATTATATACTATGAACCTAGGTAACAGTTGCAGAGTGTGTGTGCACATGCATGTGTGTAAGAGAGACAGACAGACAAGAAAATGGTAAGTTTGAATCATTTCAGGAATAATTACGTGGAGCTGTCCCACAGACAACTGGAAACATGCCCTGAGAGAATGGAAATGAAGATAAGAAATGAGACAGATCTGAGAGGCATCAGCCCATGGAAACAATGGAAATTACTAGACATTTTCCAGAAAGATAGTTAGAAGAAATGTCAGGACAGAACTCTGATGGCACAGTATCATTTTAGAATCAAGTGTTAAAAGAGCTGGTTAAGAAAAGAGGGCATTAAGAGACTTAGGACAGAATACTGTTACAGAAGCCAAGTCAGGAAGACTTTTAAGGAGTTATTAACCAAGTACAATGTTGCAGATGTCAAGTAAGAAAGGCTAAAAGTATCTTGTTAAATTGAAGACCTAAAGTTTGCTGGCAATTTTAGGGAGTAGTTTTAGTGACATTATGGAAATAACCAGATTACAGTGTACTGAGAAACGAGTGAAAGCACATGCAGACTGTCCTGAAAATGAAAGAAGTTTATACTTTTCTAACCCTTTTTAGAAAACCTAATAGATTATTGTAAGCAGTAGCTTCCTACATTTTTAAGGTCCTTTGAAAAAGGGTAAGAGAATCTATGAACTCAATGCCAATTATATTTCTGAAACGAGGAGCCAGAAGAGATCCAGTATGATCCCAGCACCTTTTTTTCCAATAGTTCAATTACTTTGGATGTTTTAGGCTACCTGTTCTCTCACTGTCATTCTCATTACAACTGTGCCATCAATTTTTAAGTTACTAAGTCCTGCACATATTTATTTCAGTAAAATATGAGAACTACATTCCAGAAAGAGTACAAATCCTATCAGTCTCTGACTGAAATAGAAATCAGAGGGGAGTAGTCAAAGGCATTAAATGCCTCAGATACGACAAGCTGGATAAAGATTGAAAAAAAAAAAAAAGAGAAAAAAGGTCTCTTTTGTTCCTATGAATAAATTGTCCACGCTCTTAGCTAAAACTAACCCTTCCATTTGTGCCCTGGATCCCACACCTGCTAGCCTGCTCAAAGACATAGTTTTGGCAATTCTGCCCTCTCTAGCAACACCAATTCTTTCCTTTCTACTGAACTGGCCTAATCAGCACACAGATATGGTATTATTGCTTTTAAAATAACACATACATACCCCACTCTCTTGATACCACTTCATTTTTCTTTTTTCTTTTTATAGGATTGTTTATACTTATTGACTTTGTTTTTGTTGCAAAGAATTGTTTATACTTATTGCCTTTAATTTCTCTCCTTTTGTTCTCTCTTAAACCCAACCCAAAACAGACAGTGCTTACAAACACTTGTCAAGGTCACCACTTACCTCCATGCTAAATCCAATGTCATTTATCAGTCATCTTGCCTGATCTTTCAGAAGTATTTGACCCAGTTGATGATCTCCCATTGCATTTTACTTGTTTTCCAGGGCCACACTCTGGTTTTTCTGTGTTACCTTTTCAAAAGTTACCCTTTTGGGGTAGTTACCCTTTTAACTACCCCATTTAGTCTTTGCTGACTGTTTCTCTTCAGCCTTACTTCTAAATGTTGGGAGTATCCCAGAGTTCAGGCATTAGAGCTCTTCTTTTCTATCTACAAAGTCATCATTTCTTCAGTGATCTCATCAAGTCTCACACCTTTAAAGTTGTAACAGGGTACAGCCAAGGGTGGGGGCAAAGAGGGATTTGTAATGGGGTCCAGAACTTGATGTCCAGGAAATAATAGGGAAAAATACATATAGGATGTTCTTACCCCAAGTCTGAACTTGGGGGATGGGATGCAAGGAGCAGGACCACCTAGAGCTGTTTTGCATAGCAACAGTTTTGCAGATAATCTCTAGAATGGTCATTTAACATATCTATAACCTTTAACTGGTTTCATGGATATGTTAAATAGCTGTGGTCATGCTTTGAGCCAGGGGGATGAGAGTGACTTCCACTGAAGATGTAACTGGGGGGGCAGCTCCCCCTGGTTACAGAGCATGCATATGAGCTTGGAGATGAATGGCTTCACACCACAGGGCCACATCTGACCATACTTACTATGGCAGCCCAGTAAAGCTGGAGAAATATGGGAATGCTGGCAGCTGTGGCCAATTGTGGAAGGAGTTGGAAATAGTGTGGCAAAGGAAGATTGGCGCTGGGATTTAAACCCGGGGACGGCAGCCATGTGGGGTCTTTTCGGAATCATGTGGCTTGGGCAGAGAAAAGCCATGGACTTCTATTTCTCTTTCTGAGATACAGTACCCCCGACTGGGCAGAGGGGGGAAGGAAGGACTGTGCGTTTGTGGGTATTCTAAAGGACTTTGGGATCTCAATGAAGACATTAGGTCATTACTCTTTTAAGTTTGTATAACTCTTTAAATAATCCTTTTCCTTTTCACCAATCTCTGGCATTGAGAGATGTCTTTCCTTGGCAGCAGGCAAGGTGAAGTAGTATGGGATGGGGGGACCCCCAGAGCACAAGGGTGGGTCCATTCAGTAATAGTATATCATTCACCCCACCCCTGCCAGGTCTGTTTTGTAACAAAGCTAGTATATGTATACTGATGACTCCCAGGTTTCTCCTTCTACACTAGATCTCCTCTAACTTCTGAACCTGACTATCATTTGCCTATTTGACAACTCTGCACAGACATCTCTTAATTATCACCTCAAGTTTAAAAATCTTCAAAACTGAGCTCCTAAAATTCCATCCCCTACCTCTCCATTTCCCCATCCAAGTTAATTCTACCTCTTTACTCTTTTAGGCCAAAACCTTGGAGTTATCTTTGACTGCTTTTTTTCTCCCTTCTTACATCTGATCTGGTCTTTCAGAGAAATCCTGTTTGGTTTACCTTCAAAATATATCTAGAATTCTACACTTTTCACTACCCGCCCCCCGCCACATCACATCATCTTTGAAACCCACTCCCATGGGGTTATTGCCCTTGTGACTCCATCAAAAATATTCTTGTCAAAGTCACTAGTGATGTTTTTTTAGTCACCAACTCTCACCTAAAATTATTTCAGGAGCCTAACTGGTCTCCTTGCTCCAGCCCCTAGTCTCTTCACTTTATTCTGAACGTAATAGTCACATCATATCATAAAATAAGTCAGATCCTATCATAAAATAAGTCAGATCACATCATTCTCCTCAAAATCCTCCAATGCCTTCTCATCTCACTCAGTGTTACAGTTAAAGTGCTCACCTCTAAGATCCTGTAAGATCTAGTATCTTCCTATTCAAACATGGGCCTTATACCAGCAGAACAGCCATTACCTGGCAGCTTATTAAATGTAGAATCTCCTGTCCTAACTCAACTTTCTAACTTAGAACCTACATTTTAATAAGCTCTCTAGGCAATTCATATGTACATTACAGTTTGAGAAGCACTGATGTGGCCCTCAATTACTCCTCTCCCCCTCATATACTCTGCTCCAGCCACACTGCCATCTTAGCTATTTCTAAAAGGTGGGAACACATCTACTTCAGGATTTTAGCACTCATTCCTCCCTCTGCCTAGAATAATGTTCCTCAGATAACTGCAGGCTAGCTATCATACTTCCTTTAGGTCTTCATTCAAGTAAATTTCTTATTAAAGCCTCTCTGGGCCATCTTATTTAACACTGAACCCCAAATCCTACTTTATTTTTTAATCTATAGTTCTTATCAAAACAGTATGTATATATTTCACTTATTTGTCCTGGTTTTTTTTGTCTGACTACCCTGGTAGGATTTGAGCTTTACAGGGACTGGGATTTAAACCTGTTTTGGTCATTGCTTAATATATGGTGCTCCGAACTTAATATATGGTGTCTGGCACATAGTAGACACTCAGAAAACTTTGCATTGAATGAAATCAGTTTAGCAATAGGCAGACTTCAGCTAAGTCATGGAGAAGAAGACTACATAGCAAGGTGAGAGGCAGATATTAATAAGGTAAGAAAATGTGAAGGAAGGAAACAGAATTAAAAAGTGTAGTCTATTTTTAAAGAGCTCTAAAGAATATTAAAACAATTCGTCTTAGGGATTAGCTAACACTTCGATCTGTTATTAAATACACTTCTTTGGCAAAAACTTTTTTGTACCTACCAATTACGCTTTTGAAAAAAATATTTTATTGATTATGCTATTACAGTTGTCCTACTTCCCCTGACCCCCTCTCCTACCCAAATCCGCCACCCCCTTCCCAGTTCCAATGTCCATGGGTCGTATGTACATGTAAGTTCTTTGGCTTCTCCATTTCCTAACTATTCTTATCATCCCCCTGTCTATTTTGTACCTACCATTTATGCTTCTTATTCCCTGTACCTTTTCCCTCATTCTCCCCTCTCCACTGCTGACCCTCCATGTGATCTCTATTTCTGTGATTTTGTTCTTGTTCTAGTTGTTTGCTTAGTTTGTTTTTGTTTTTTTCCCTAGGTTTAGTTGTTGATAGTGATGAGTTTCTTGTCATTTTACTGTTCATATTTTTGATCTTCTTCTTGTTCTTAGATAAGTCCCTTTAACATTTCATAAAATAAGGGCTTGGTGATGATGAACTCCTTTAACTTGACCTTATCTGGGAAGCACTTTATCTGCCTTTCCATTCTAAACGAAAGCTTTGCTGGATACAGCAATCTTGGATGTAGGTCCTTGCCTTTCATGACTTGGAATACTTCTTTCCAGCCCCTTCTGGTCTGTAAGCTTTCTTTTGAGAAATCAGTCGAGAGTCTTATGAAAACTCCTTTGTAGGTACCTGTCTCCTTTTCTCTTGCTGCTTTTAAGATTGTCTCCTTATCTTTAATCTTGAGTAATATATTATGATGTGCCTTGGTGTGTTTCTCCTTGTATCCAACTTCTTTGGGACTTTCTGAGTTTCCTGGGCTCCCTGGAAGTCTATTTCCTTTGCCAGGTTGGGGAAATTCTCCTGCATTATTTTTTAAAATGAGTTTTCAATTTGTTGTTCTTCCTCTTCTCCTTCTGGCACCTCTATGATTCGGATGTTGGAATGCTTAAAGGTGTCCTGAAGGTTCCTAAGCCTCTCCTCATTTTTTTTGAATTCTTGTTTCTTCATTCTGTTTTGGCTGAATGGTCATTTCTTCCTTCTGGTCTAAATTGTTGATTTGAGTCCTGGTTTCCCTCCCGTCACTGTTGGTTCCCTGTATATTTTTCTTTCTTTTACTTTTCACATCCTTCACTTTTTCTTCTATTTTGCGACCATACTCAACCATTTCTGTGAGCATCCTGATTACCAGTGTTTTGAACTCTGCATCTGATAAATTGGTTATCTCTTCATCCCTTAGTTCTGTTTTTGGAGTTTTGATCTGTTCTTTCATTTGGCCCTTATTTGTCTTGGTGCAGCTGTTACATTGTAAGGGGTGGAGCCTTAGGTATTTGTCAGGGTGGGACAACCCACGTTGCTGCACTGTGGTGCAGTCTCAATGAATATTTCTTTTTTAACTCCTTGGTTGTTGGATTTCCATACAGTTCAATTTTCTGGCAGTTCTGGTTATTTTTGTTTTTTAATTTGTTGTTGTCCTTCTTTTTGCTGTGTGAGTAGGCAAAGTGTATCTACCCACACTTCTAACAAATAACTTCTAAACACAAAAGATAAAAATTCCAAGTGTAACATATTTTCGTGGGAAGAAGAGCTATTCCTAATAGCCCTTTTTTATATGCCTTCATTTTATCTGTCCAAAATAGAAAAGAAAGGAGACAGGAGAAGAAAAAGAAACAGACAGAAGTGAGCTGAAGCTTTTAAGCATATTGAAGAAAGAACCTTATTTAAAAAAATCTGATCTTCAAAAAATATATATAACCTTTGGGGGAAAAACTGTTTTAGTATGTGTGGCAATTCAAACAGAAAATACATTTGATTTCCAGAACAAGCCCTGTGGTAGGTATTTCCTTAAGGCAGCTATGTAATTCTCATAACCTTAAGTAGCTGATGTTTGCTAGAGGACTACAAGAGAGAGCTGAATGCAGATTACAAAGCAGTTTACAATGGCTCTCATTCTCTTTACAAAATGCAACAACCTGCCTTCTGTTCTTATGATATAAAACTGCGTCTTTAGCACCTATACTTTCTCAGAAGCTCTGTTTTGAAGCCCAGGCAGAGGCCCAGTATCCTCTGGTTGCTTACCCAGTTGTAGCCAAATCACTACTCTCCTTGGAGCCATCTTCATCTGCAAAAAGGGGAGGCAGTGTGGAACTAGTCATCAAAGTTTCCATCTCTCTAAAAGGAAGAGAGAATAAAAGTTAATTAGTGGCTTAATCACTTCAAGTTCAAGTTCCACTAATTTAAGAGCCAGCCTTCCTTAACTTTATCACATCAGCAGCAGAATAGAAACTGACCTGAATATTTATTTTCTTGACTTGGACACATGAATTTAAACTCTATGGATAAAGAATGGGGTTTCAACCCTGATCTTAATCAACTGGACAAACTAAAAATAGTTAAGAATTTTTTTACAACTGAGACATAGTATGGACAATTCCTTTTTTGTTTATTCAGAATATCTTCAAAAGTATTCTTCATTTCCTGTAAAAAGTGTTAAGCAGCATTGCAAACCTGAGCAAGTTATTCAATCTCTTTAAGATACAATCTCACTTTCTGAGACAAAACTGCTGACTTACCCACAGGGTTATTGAGAAGGATTAAACTGAAATGGCTTCATCAACAGATAAAGGCTAAGATGGTAAGTGCTTTGAGTATTATTATATAAATAACAGTACTGTTATTATAGCATTACCAGTTCTCAGTCCCAGATCAATTATCCTTAGATTAAATGGCAACAAACTAAGCCCTCTAAAAGGAAATGATGCAAAGGAAGTGGAGGATGGAAGACATACTGATATGGTTTAGAAAGAAAGAAACCACACTTTCAAGCCAGAAAATGCTTTACATCACTATGATGACCAAGAGCAGAAACAGATGCACTTACATACAGGAAACCAGGCTAAATTAAAGAAAACAAATAAATCACTAGACTTTCAGGTTATCAGACTGAAAGGATAAAAGGACAAAGTGATAGAGTAATTTCATTTAGCATATATCACTATACGAAAGGTGTTTTCCCTTCAATGCTTACCAGCCAGGGCTCTACCTCATATTGCTAAAAGCAGCAGCCTTCCATTCATCAAGAAAGTGATATTTAAACAAAACACTCAAATGTGACCCCAAACATCAACTACTGAAGTGGAACTACAAACTGCTCATGACATAAAGTGCTCCATTAACTGGGAAAACTGAGAAGCAAATTAGATCACTCAGGAGCTCCCCCCGCCGTTATAGCAGGTGCCGCCACCAAGGACACCTAGTGAACTCAACAATGAAAAGGAAAGCACACAGAAATTCCAATCAAGATGGTGACATAGAGAGACATAGATTGTCTCTTCACACAACCACATCAAAATTACAACTAAAATATAGAACAATCGTCACTCAGGAAGGAACATCAGAAATCGAGTTGAATGGAAGTCTGACAAGTGTCGAATTAAAGAACTCACATCCATCAAGACTGGTAGGAGGGGTACAGACACGGACGTGCTGGTACCCACCCATGTGGATAAAAATTCTGGAGGAATATCTCAAGAGTGACAAATCCCAGACCCACACCAGGTCCTCCAGGATTCTAGTGCCAGGAAAATAAGTGCCCACAACTTCTGGCTGCAAAAACCAGCTGGGATAGAGTTAGTGGAAGAAACCTCTGGAGCCCCACATAGTTCCTCTTAAAGAACCCACACACAGGCTCATCTACTCAGACTCACTCCCTTTGAGCTCCAGCACTGGGGTTGCAGCTTGAAAGGCACCAGTGGTATACAGGGAGAAACTGAAGTGTCTGGCATCAAGGTGAGCAGAGGCCACTGTCTCTTTGCTAAACCCTCTCCCCACAGAGCTGGCAAGCTGGTGCCGTATCTGAGACTCCATCAACCTGGCTAACAATGTTTGACCCACCTTAGAGATCCCTAGAGGCTCTGCCCTATGCAAGCTGCTTTTCTGTAAGAATTGCTGATCGTGGCTCCTAAATGCTATCAAGCAAGCAACAGCTGGCTTCAGTGGGCCCTAGCTGCAGCCAGGTTAGATTCACAGCTTGGCTTTGCCTGGGAATCTGCAACCCCAGCACAAGTAGCAGCCATCTCAGATTGCTCTACAGCTCAGGCGGGGTGCCTGGGGCTAAACGCACCCGGGGGCTGACCTTGGTCTGCACCACCAGGGCACCCAGTGGACAGCTACAGACCACGTCAGAGCACCACCACCCTGCCCCTGCACAGCTGATCCTCTACTGACAGTGGAGGCTGGTGGTAAGTAGTTACAGTCAGTCCTTGCAGCTGACTGGCCTGGGTAAATCCCTCCCATTGACCTGCCAATAGCAACCAAGTCTCAAATACAAGAGGGTGTACTCAGCCCACACGAAGGGCGCACCTCGAGTTCCCAGTTTGGGTGATGGGGGAGGCTGTACCACTGGATCCTACAGGACACCTACTACTTTAGGGCACACTACCAAGACACGGAGTCAAAGCAACTCTACCTAATACACAGAAACAAACACACGGAGGCTTCCAAAATGAGGAGACAAACAAACATAGCCCAAATGAAAGAACAGATCAAAACTCCAGAACAAGAGCTAAACAAAATGGAGATAAGCAATCTATGAGATGCAGAGTTCAAAACGCTGTTTACAAGGATGCTCAATGAACTTAATGAGAACCTCAACAGCATAAAAAAGATCCAGTCAGAGATGAAGGATTCACTAATTGAAATAAAGAACAAGTTATAGGGAAACAACAGTACAGAAACAACAGTAAAGCTGAGAATCAAATCAATGATATGGAACATAAGGAAGCCAAAAACAACCACGCAGCACAACAAGAAGAAACAAAGAATCCAAAAATATGACGATAGTATAAACAGCCTCTGGGGTAGCTTCAACAGATCCATCATTCACATCATAGGGGTGCCAGGAGGAGAAGAGCGAGAAATTGGAAATCTGCATGAAAAAATAGAGAAAACTTCCATAATTTGGTGAAGCAAACAGACATGCAAGTCCAGGAAGCATATAGAGTCCCAATTATAATGGAAGCAAAGAGGCCCACTCCCAGACACATCATAATTTAAAGGGCAAAGTTTAAAGATAAAGAGAGACTCTTAAAAGCTCAAGAGGAAAGAAGTTAAGTTAGAAGGTTGCCCCATGGGAGTGGGGAGGAGGAGGATGGATGAAGAGAGAGGAGGATTAAAAACTACAACTCGGTAGTTATACAGCGGCCATGGGGATATAAAGTACAGTATAGGAAATGGAGTAGCCAAAGAACTTATACCCAAGACCCATGGACATGAACAATGGTGGGTGGCCTGTCTGAGGGAGTGGCGACACTGGGCGGAGGGGGGCAAAGGGGGAAAATCGTAATAGCATAGTCAATAAAATATAATTTTTTTAAAAGAGAAAGCCCAGCAGTTCATGCAGAGATAAGATTCATCCCACTGAGGTGGAAATGAGGAAGGAAATACAGATGACACTGACACTGTATTCTAACTAGTCAATAGAACAATTACTTCAAAACTGAGCATTTATTTCTTATTCTCATTTTCTACTTCTAAGTTCCATAAATACCTCAATGTGAAAAAATACATCTGTTTATCTACTGTCCATTAGGGTGAAGCATGGGAGTCATGGAGAGGATCTTCTCTTCAACCACAGGGTGAACAGTTTCCTCCATGTGCATGGATGTTTGCTAACCCTCTTCAATTCCTTTAAGATAGGGAGTATTTACAGGGGGTTCTAACATTCTAGATGTTTTCTGGAATAATCCTGACACAAGTGTCCTTAATGGCATACAGTTGAACTGTATACCAAAAGCAAATATTCAGCTAACCAGGTATATACCCCCAGACTTTAATGAGACTCATCTTACTGGCTTCTTTCTAAAAATCTCCCTAGACATAAATGAAGTTTCAAGAACCTCAAGATTCAGCATCTGAAGCTTGTAGAGTCCCTCTCACACCTCAAAAGAAGCTGAGTTATCTGGCAGGGGACAGATGAAATGTCTTTTTGTTCACTATGACAGCACAACCTTCTTCAAATATCTAGTTACCATATTTCTGAAATACGGGGAGGCAGCTGGACTATAAAACCCTAACATCTAAACAGATCATATAAACAAAGGAAGTTCAAAGAACACACATTTCTTCCTTTTTCTTTTTTTAATCTTAAGTTTTACTCAATCCATATGGCTTCAGATGTATTTTTTCTAGTGTTACTTAGTAGTCAGGTCTCTAAACAATGAGTAATAAAGTAGGTGGAAGGTTAGTGGCCAAGATTAACAAAAGAAGGAAATGAGGAAATGGTCCAATGAAACCCAAAGGCCTCTCAACTAGTCTAATAAGTTGGAAAATAAAATGATTCCCCAAAATATGACTGGAATCCTGTGAGACTGCTTTCATATGGTCCTTGAAGGGGTGGTTCAAACTGAATCATGGCTTCATGGCTGCCAAGCCACTGATTGCCAAAACCCCTTCAGTGCATCTGTGTCTGATAATGTCCCAGTACAGAGGTCACAATGAAATTTGAAATTTTATGCAAAGCACTTATGAAATGTAATGAATGGTGCTCTGGAAGGGGAAAGAGGAGAAATATGTACAAAGAAGCCAATATACAAGTTTAATTCTCCACTGGTGTTTACAAAGACAGGTATATCATGCACCTGGAAGGCTGGAAAAATAGTATTACCTTGGGACTTACACTTTGATCCTAAAAACTGTAGTGAGAATTATATTAAGCACAGAAGATATATATTTGCCAATCAATAAATTCTCTCCCTGTAGTAATATAGGGAGGCAAATCATAATCAAAACATTGCTTTGGTAAATACAGGGCCAGAAGAAAGAAAGTTAGATAGAGCTTAAGAAATGTTCCTCAACTAAAATTGCTCCAGTACCCTTTCCTGACAAAAGGAATGATCTTAACAAGGAGACTATGTTATTCCCAATGTTGGACAGTGCTGAAAGCATAATTTGTATTTCTGTTTTTTAGGGGTTGGCTCTTTTCATGAGCCCTTTCCTTACTTTACATGTTAATCTCACTTCATTAAGTCATCTCACTTAGAGATGCACTGTATTCTCTCCCCAATCATACATCTCAGCATTGAGAAGTGGGATTCTACCCTCATTTTCCATGTTACAGCCCTTATGCAAAACTCCCAATTTCTTTACATGTCACTTGGCTATACAAAACTCAA